CGCGCTCACGGCGCCAAACTCGGCGGAGCCCCGCTCCGTCTGCGCCAGGATCGACCCGGAGATCCCGGCGGCGGTCGCAGGCGGGCTGAGGCGTGCAGAGGGCGCGCGGCTCATCCGCTCCTCTGCCCCTCAGGTTTGTCGCGCAAGCCGCCGGGATCAACGAGTCGATCCTGGCGCAGACGGAGCGGGGCTCCGCCGAGTTTGGCGCCGTGAGCGCGCAGCTGGCGGCCATGTGCGAGCGGCACGCGGGCCTCGCAGCGGCGCTCGCCGCCGAAGGCACCCCTATTCCGCCCTCTGCAGCCTTGCCAGAGGCGCGGCGACAGCCGCAGCCGCAGCCGCCGCCGCAGCAGCACTTTCCGCCGCCGCCGCCGCAGCAGCCAATGGCGCAGCGGCCGCCGCCGCCGCCGCCCTCCGGCGCCCCCTCTCGCCCCGCCGCCGCCCCGCCGCCGCCGCCCGTTGTCGACGTCTCGAAGCTGCTCAACGACCTCGCGGCGGCGGGCGTGATCAACGCGGCGGCGCCCGCCGCCGCGCCCTCGCTGACGCAGCCGCAGCCGCAGCTCGCGATGCCCGCCCCGTTCGCGCCGCCCCTCTCTTCGTCGACGCTCGGCTCCGGGCCGCACTCGACGCTGGGCGCGCTGGGAGCGGGCGGCGCGCTCGGCCTGGGCGGCGGGCTCGGCTTGGGCGGGCTGCAGGGCAGCTCGCTCGGCATGAACGACCCCGCCATCTCGGCCGCCGTCCACCTCCTCTACAGGGACAGGGAGCACGCCGGCTGGCGCGGGCCCGCCGACGGCCAACCCGCGGCGGGCTCGCCGCCGCTCTGCCGCCGCTGGTACGCGCCGGTGGACGAGTGGGTGGCCGCGGCGCCGGCGCGGCAGGCGGGCCTCCAGCACGCCTCCGCCTTCGCCACCCTTGCGCACGACAACGCGGCGGCGCACGAGCCGGCTGCGCCCGCCGCGCCGCAGCCGCTGCTGCGAGCGCCGTCGAATGCGGTGCCGTCCGCGGAGAGAGGCGGCGTCCGCTCCCGCGGGAGTCGGGGCCCCACGCCGCGCGCCGTGCCCGCAGGTGCGCGTCGAGTGCAGCAAGTGCGGCGAGGAGATCAGCATGGTCTTTGACGACGAGTCGGAGGAGTGGATGTTGCAGGGCGCCGTCGACGCGGGGGGGGGCGTCTTCCACCATTATGACTGTGCGGCGCCGCGCGGCGGCGGGGGGTAGTGTGACCGGTGGACAGTCTCCCCTATCTCTGGTAATCGCTACACACAACACAGCGGCGAGACGTGGTCAGAGCACGGACAGGCGCGAGTGGAGCTTGAATGGTGATCCGCAGCGCGCGCAGGGCCGAGGTGCGAGGAGAGCGCACATCCCGGCGACTCTGAGTGCCCCCACATTCTGGCATCTGGGGCTGGGCATGCAGGACCACACGAGGTACGACGAGGACACCACGGGCATCTCGTCGGGAGCGGGATGGGGAACGGTAAGAGCGGTAAGAGAGAGAGCGAGAGATGTGTGTTTGACTGGACCGGAAAATGAAGAAAACTTTCTTGCTCGCTCTCTCGCGGACTCGGCCACCTCGATGCGCGCAGCAAAGACGGCGCTCCCTCCCGCCACCCGTCGCGGCTGTTTGAGGGCGGCGACGCCAGCAGCGCTCGCGGGCTGCTCTCGCGGCACACGGTGGCTCGGCACGCAGCCTGAGGCTGAGCCGCGGGGCAGTCTGGTGCCGGAGACGCTTGCGGAGATGGACAGCGCCGGCTCGGAGTTCCAGCAGAATGCAGCCGAGCTGCGCGCGATGGGGAAGCAGCGCCTCTCGCTGCAGGAGCGCAAGCGCAGGCGGCGCGCTCTCGACGCGCTCGGCGTGCCCGACTTTGCCGCGTTTCTCGGGCAGCAGGGCGTTTCCCTCCCGCTGCGCAAGGAGGCGGTGACGATGCTGCAGCTCAACGTGGGGCTGCTCTGCAACCAGGCCTGCACGCACTGCCACGTCGAGTCGTCGCCTCGCCGGACCGAGGCGATGGACGAGCGGCTGGTCGAGCACATCCTGCGCGTGCTCGCCGCCTCGCCCGAGGTGGAGACGGTCGATATCACGGGCGGCGCCCCGGAGATGACGCCCGCCTTCTGGCCGCTCGTCCGAGGCGCGCGCGCGCTCGGGAAGGAGGTGCGCCCAGTCCTCCAGCCCCTCCCGATACGGACACACAGCAGCCACCGCTGCCTGCCCGCCACCCGCCCCTCTTCCCGCCGCCCGCCGGCCCCTCTTCCCGCCGCCCGCCCGGCCACGCCCCCGCCGCGCACGCGCGCAGGTGATCGACCGGTGCAACCTGACGGTGCTGTTCGAGCCGGGGATGGAGCGGCTGCCCGACTTCCTCGCCGAGCACGGCTGCCGCGTCGTCGCCTCGCTGCCGTGCTACTCGCGCGAGAATGTCGACAAGCAGCGCGGCAACAAGGTCTTCCAGCGCTCGATCGCCGGGCTGCAGAGGCTGAACGGTGTCGGGTACGGCGTCGAGGGGTCGGGCCTCAAGCTCGACCTCGTCTACAACCCGGGCGGCGCCTTCCTGCCCCCGCCGCAGGACGTCCTGCGAGAGGCGCGCCTCCGCCGTCGCAGACCGCCACACAGGAGCCCACCGGGGAGGGCTCTTGCCCCGCCAGGCGTACGCGCGCGAGCTGGACGCCAACTTCGGGATCGTCTTCAACGAGCTCTTCACAATCACAAACATGCCGATCAAGCGCTACGCCGACCACCTGCACAAGGGCGCGCCAACCCCCCCCCCCCCCCCTCTCCCCCGTGACTTCCCAGCACACGGCTCGGCCGCCCCCTGCTGCGGCCCTTGCTGCGCTGCGCCTGCTTCGCGCCCTGCCTCCGACGCCTCGTTCGCTGCTGCAGCGGGCGAGCTCCAGGCGTACATGCAGCTGCTCGTCGACTCGTTCAATGTCTCGACCGTCGACCACCTCATGTGCCGCACCCTCGTCTCGGTGCACTTCCTAGACACTTCCTAGACACTTCCTAGACACTTCTTCGACCACCTCATGTGCCGCACCCTCGTCTCGGTGCACTTCCTAGACACTTCCTAGACACTTCCTAGACACTTCCTAGACACTTCTTCGACCACCTCATGTGCCGCACCACCGTCTCGGTGCACTTCCTAGACACTTCCTAGACACTTCCTAGACACTTCTTCGACCACCTCATGTGCCGCACCCTCGTCTCGGTGCACTTCCTAGACACTTCCTAGACACTTCCTAGACACTTCCTAGACACTTCTTCGACCACCTCATGTGCCGCACCCTCGTCTCGGTGCACTTCCTAGACACTTCCTAGACACTTCCTAGACACTTCTTCGACCACCTCATGTGCCGCACCCTCGTCTCGGTGCACTTCCTAGACACTTCCTAGACACTTCCTAGACACTTCCTAGACACTTCTTCGACCACCTCATGTGCCGCACCCTCGTCTCGGTGCACTTCCTAGACACTTCCTAGACACTTCCTAGACACTTCCTAGACACTTCTTCGACCACCTCATGTGCCGCACCCTCGTCTCGGTGCACTTCCTAGACACTTCCTAGACACTTCCTAGACACTTCCTAGACACTTCTTCGACCACCTCATGTGCCGCACCCTCGTCTCGGTGCGCCAGGGAGGGAGAGGGAAGGCAGGGGGGGGGAGGGAGGGAGGGGGGGGGAGGGCGGCGGAGAGCGTCTTGCGCGGAGAGGAGCGACTCGGTCCCGCAGGTGGGCCACGACGGGCAGATGTACGATTGCGACTTCAACATGGCGCTCGACATGGCGTCGCGCGGCGGCGGAGGCGAGGCGAGCGGCGCGCCGCAGCTGCCCCGCCCCTCGGGCACCATCTTCGACATCTCGTCGCTCGACGAGCTGCGCAGCGACGCGATACGCACCGGTGCGCGAGTCGGCCCACGTCGCCCTCGCCACGCCGCTTGCTCGCGCCACCCACCCCCGCCGTCTATGCCGCCCGGCAGGCACGCACTGCTTTGGATGCACGGCCGGCAGCGGGTCGACGTGACAGGGGCAGACGGTGTAAGCACGCGCGCTTACACCTGCCGTCCCACGCCCAGACTCGGGGTCGTGGCGCCTGAGTGACGGCGCGGGGTGCGCCCTCTTGCGAGGAGCCCCGCGCCTGAGGAGAGGCGCCACGCGACACGCGGGGAGTGTTCGCGCGAGTCTCTGCTCGTGTGCTCGATGTGCCCGTGTGCAAATGACACACGACACACCACACCCCGCGCGCGAAAGTTCCCACCAGAGTCCGGGGATGCTCTCTCTCTCTACGACCTTAGCAAAACACTCGATTTCAAGTGCCGTATTTGTTACTCGAGTCTACAGTGAGATATTACGTTAGACGTACGGTATGTGAAATGATCGCAACGATATGATCGCGCGCGGTCGGCGGCTGCGCCTGCCGCGCCCCGTTGCCGTCTCGGCGCCCCCGCGCCCTGTCACGAGAGACTATCGAGATAGAGACGCTGGAAGATTATGACGCGCAATGTCGCGCAGTATGCCCACTCTCCCCTCGAGAGATGAGATGTCCCCGGCGGCGTCGGGTGCGACAGCTGTACGGCTCTCACTGAGGCGTCACAGCGCTCGGCTTTCTTGAGAGGCTTCCGCCTCAGACTCCTGCGGAGGGGTCGGGGCGGGGGGGGGATCTCAGCCGAGCGCCCTCGGGTCGTGCGCCTCCGAGCCGGCTGTGCGCGCATTTGGGGGCGAGGTCTCCCTCGTCCTCCTCCTCGACGACGTCCTCCGAGTCGAGGTAGTGCAGCTCGCGCTCCGAGAAGAACATGGGCAGCACGACGTTGCGGATGGGCACGAAGCAGAGGATGACCAGCGGGAAGCACATCGCGAAGGCGGACTTCTTGACGACGTAGAGGACGAGGAAGCCGAGGATCTGCACGAAGGTGAAGGTGTGCAGCTTGACGCGCGACACCTGGCGCACGTACGAGGTTGGCGGGTAGAGCTTGGGCTCCATGAAGAGCAGGCTGATCCGCTCCCACAGCTGGATGGTGGTGAGCGAGGTGATGCCCATCGTGAGGAAGAGGCCGAAGAGGACCGCCATCGGCACGTGCTTGAGCACCGAGACGAGGAAGAGGGAGCAGCCTGTCGAGGAGTCGAGCAACGGACCGGCCACCGGCTGAGACCAGCCGAGATCAGGAGACGAGGCGCGCGTGCTGGGCCGGCGGGGCGGGCGAGGGTGCCACGAGGGTGGGGTGCTAGGTGTGGGACTAGGACCGGTGTGGGGCTAGGTGTGGGGGTGATGTGCTAGGGCGCGGGGCGTGTGCGGCGCGCCGATGAGGAGGTGGATGAGCAAGCCGGTGAGGCGCGTCTCGGCGACGGAGGCGATGCGCTCCGTCTTGTGCCCGTGCGCGTCGACGACCTCCTCCTTGGTGCAGAGCGCCATGAGGTGGTTGATGGAGCGGACGGTCGCCGCGCACATCCAAGGCAGGCCGAGCATTGAGCAGATCATGATGAGGGCTGACGTGAGGGGGAGGAGGAAGGGGGGTGGGGGGGGGGGAGCGTCAGGGCGAGCGGGGGGAGCACAGAGGGCGGCGGCGGGGCCGCGGCGGCGGGAGTTGGCGGCGGGGCTGTGGCGGCGGGGCTGCGGCGGCGGGGCTGCGGCGGCGGGGCTGCGGCGGCGGGGCTGTGGCGGCGGGGCTGTGGCGGCGGGGCTGTGGCGGCAGGGCTGCGGGGACCAGCGAGGCAGAACATGTCGAGGTGGTAGCCGCCCTCCTTCTTGAGGCGGTTGTCCGACTTGTTGATGAGGCGCGCGGTGATGTTTTGGTCGAGATAGAGGAGGACGGAGGCGAGCATCGCGGGCAGGATCATCGCGAAGGGCAGGTAGGCGGGGATCCCCATCGTGGGCGCCGAGCTCAGCGGCATGGCCTCGTTCGAGCCGGCTGGGGTGAAGAGGCAGCTGGCCGCGTCGATGGCGCCGAGGGGAGACGTGATGAGGCCCCGCGGAGACTTTGGTGTCTGCGGCGAGGGAATACTCTGGCCCGCGAAGAACGCCCCCGGGACTTGC